CTGATTTGTGATGGTTACCGAAAAACAATAATAATTACCTGGTTCTTGGCAACAAAGATGGCATTTTTCTTCAGGAGTTTTCTCTTCACCAGAGCAGAAACATTCTTCCATCATAACATCTGCTGCTTCACAGATGGATCCAGAACATTCCTGTAATCAGAGAAAAAAACAAGTCATTGAAAATGACATAGTCCCTGTTGGGTAATTTGTCAAAGTGATCTCTTATAAGCTACACACCAGATATCGACAGAGGAATATTGCTTTCGAATACCCTCACTTAATCGAAATTGCCTATCATCAAATGTGTACAGCACATTATTAAGCATGGAAATGTCCCCCAAAATACTTCGCGTTTGTCGAATCCCACGCGATGTTTGATGCCACTATGAGGCTATGACCATTGTTTGTCCTGTTTTTACGTTCGATTTCACGCATAATGCGTGATTCTCGCAGTGAACAGAAAATGGTCTATTGAAGTTGGTGTGGTCAGTTATTGCTTGTTGTACGATGACCAATACAAGACATTCATGTCTTTACTATGTCTCTATGACTGACAGGATATAACAGACACTCCACTGTGTTTGTGTTGAATTATACAAGTCCAGGCATATAAAAAATATGGCCCTGGAACAGGATTTATTAAAACAAAATGCAAAGACCAGTCAGCCATTTTGAATCTGATCTGAGAACAATATGTATCGGGGTCATCATGTTCCATATACATAAAAAAAGTTTAATAAAATATGTTCATCAGCATGATCTGGTTCCAGAACTGCTTAACTTTAATTTAATTTTAACACTAAAATGGCTGCCATGAATTGGTTCATGAAACAAATGCATGCGCTTATGTATGACACAATGTGTGATGTATGGAAAATTTGAGAATGAACAGCTAGACAATATCAGTAAAACAAAATGTCAAGCAGTCATTCGGAATTCCATGCATAAAACAAAATAGAGCATCGAGATCCATAATAATTGTAGTCCCATAATGAAGTTTAACAACAATAATACACAACAGAGATCTATTCCCGGTTCTGAATTTTCAGCACAAAAATGGCTGCCATTCAATCATTTTAAAGCAGATAGTGAAATGATCAGACAAGCATATGTATCCCAAAATGTAAGATGCACACGTTTAATTGTGATTGGTTAAGGTACATCAGAGATATAGGTAGAAATAAGAAATAAGAAGGACGACCAAAGTATTTTAAAAATAACCTAAAATGTATAATATGTCCAAGATCTTTGATTGGAACAAAATATGTGAAAAAATAATTCAGGGTCACAAAACTCTTATGATTTCTTTTACTTCACAATCTCCAGACAAGGGTACTTACCCCAAGGTAACAGATTTGTCTATTATCATTGCATTCAGTTCTGTTTGGTTTCAACTCGGCATCAGGGCATTTAGAGCCGCTCCCAGTAACATGTACGTTAAGGAAACAATCAATGAAATATGAAATTCCAGCACGGTGCTGGATAGT